GGGGGAGGGGGGAACATTAAAGAACTAGAAGAACCCGAGAGCCGAATTCCGATTGTGAACACGTCCCACCTGAATAGAGAAGCCATCTCAAAGATAGATGTGGAATACTGGGCGGGAATGAACCAAGACCAGGAGGTTGTAGAATTACAAGCATGGACGTCCTCCATGAACCAAGTAACCGGTCATGAAATAGCCAGGAAAGATACACAGTTACTATAAAGCAAAAACGGAATGAAGCCAAAATAAGGGGTAGGTGAATAAGAATACTGCAAATGAAACCATATCACAGCACTGCGAGAAATGTAATCAATATCGCTGAGCAATTTGTGTAGACATTTTAAAGCGAGAGCCCAATTTGCCGTGTCAATTTTCTCTGAAAACACAATGAATAATCATTTTTAAAAGTCAAGAAAGAACCACAATACATTTCAGAAGAGACTCTGAAAGTCGCTCTTGATGCTGACCAGTTAAAACAGACGGAAGAAACAACAAAGCAAAATGACTGAGCAGCTCAAGACAGAGTAAAATATTACGATGAAATGGACAAAGACCGGGAGTTAGAAAACCCAAGGGAAATGAAATAATTGACATTTCCTTTTTTTTACATTGAAAAAAAATCATTTTATTGGGGGCTTATACAACTCTTATCGCAATCCAAACATCCATCCATGTGTCAAGCACATTTGTGCATATATTGCCATCATCATTTTCAAAACATTTTCTTTCTACGTGAGCTCTTGGTACAGCTCCTCATTTTCCCCCTCCCTCCCCTTTCTCCCCTTCCTCATGAACACTTGATAATTTATAATTTTTTTTTCATGTCTTACACCAACCACTGTCTCCCTTCACCCACTTTTTTGTTGTTCATCCCCCTGGTGGGAGTTTATATGCTGATCTTTGTGATCGATTCCCCCATTCTCCCCCACCTTCCCCTTACTTTTCTGGTATCAGTACTCTCATTATTGGTCATGAGGGGTTTACCTGTCCTGGATTCCCTGTGTTGGTACCTCTTGTAGTATTGTTTTTTTAGGGGGCAGCCCCCCCCACCCACGATTCACGGGCGGGTTCAGTAATCACAATTGCACAGTTGATATATATATAAAGTCATCGAGAGCATGAGCGATAGAAGAGATATTACAATAATGCAGTCAGACACATTACATGGTAGCATTGCTCACCTCAGCCCCGCTTGGTGGTCCATGTGGAGAGAGGGGGAAGGGAAGGAGGATGGGAAAGGAAACAAGGAATAGAGGATGGGAGAGCAGAGGGGGAAGAGAGGCGAGGGAGAGACTGGTGAGAGAGAGCTCTATTGCTAACCCAGGCCTATATACCTTTTGGGGTGTGTGCAAGCCCACTAATTACAGGTAAAGTCATATGTCACAGGAAGGGGTTGCACTATAGGTTACACAGTAATGAGAGGGGGTGGTCAGGGGACATACACACAATAGGAAGAGGAGGGATTGGCGTATACATGTGACAAGATGGCGGATCCTAGAATTAGGATGGCAGCTTAACTTTGACTTCTTCTCTGGGTCTCCATAGGAACCATTATCAGTAGGGT